AAGAATGGAGACAAGACAGGATTCTGATCAAGTCTCGTTTATTCAGGGGAGGTGCTGGGTATATATAGGGGGTGTAGGAATGAGGAAGTCTCGGCTCTAGGGGGTCAGCAGGTGTCTAGGTAACGGGGGAAGGTGCCACCCCTGGGGCATAGCACATGATTCACGGAGAATGGGCAAGGTGAGAAGGACCATAAACTTAACTCAGCAGGGAACAGAAACTTAAGAAAACGGCTGCCACTATTATAAAATGGATACCAGTTAATGGCTTCCCACACATCTACTGAATCCTGTGTGTACCTTTCAATGGGCTATACTTCCAGGAGTGAAAAAGGGACACACCTGCAATCTCAGCACTTGGGAGGCTGAGGCAAAAGGATTACTTGGACCACGAGAATTTGAAAAGCAGGAAAAAAGCCATAAATATGGATCAGAAGAGTTTAGAAAAACAGGAACAGGTATAAGTCAAAGTTACTAATGCTACTGTTTAGTTGGTCTTGACCTGATCAAATACTATGAGACCAAAAATACATGACATTGGATGTGAGGGCAATCTGGCTGTGACATCTGTCACCCCATTGATCGCCAGGGTTGATTTGGCTGATCTGGCTGGCTAGGCGGGTGTCCCCTTCCTCCCTCAATGATCCATGTGCGTCCCTCCCGAAGCTGCCCACTCGGTCGAAGAGGATGACCACCCCCGATAGAGGAGGACTGTTCCTCGGTCAAGGGTATACGAGTAGCTGCGCTCCCCTGCTAGAACCTCCAAACAAGCTCTCAAAAATACATGACATTGACTTTTGAGTCTTCTGTAGCCCTGGGTTTGTGAAAAACAGATGCATGAGGCTAGTGACTTGAACTTAGATGTGAGACAGAGTCCCTCCACCTGTGTGTTTAACCAGGTTCAAAACAAGAAAGCACCCCAAAGTCTGGAAATCCCTGCTCCAAGATGTCTCCAATGCCTAATTATGTACTCAGAAGGAAAGCACAGATTTCAGAATCATTTCTATTAAAACCAGAACCAAACACGGGACAATTTCCTGCAGATAGTGAGAGAGACAGCTTAGAAGCATCTGAGAAATGGGGAGGACAGGAGCTGGGAGCTGAGAGAGAACTGAGAAGGAACCTGGGTGGGGCACACCAGGTAGGCAAAGGGAAGAAGGGTGGAGGCCAGCCGTCTTGCTGGGCCATCGCAGGTGGAAGCCAAGGACGTGGAATGCTGCAGTTCCTGGCACCGGAAGGATGGTGCGCAGAGGGCAGGGCAGGATCCGCAGTCACTGGGCTAGCAACTTGAGTAGCCGTCCTCTGGGATCCTATTTTCCCTGGGAACTGGCACAGGGAAAGGAGACAAATGTGTTTGACTGATCTATCCTTCTACCTTCTTAGAAATCCTGTAGAATCAATGAGGGGCTCTACAGAACCACCCAGTTACAGTAACAATCCCTGCCTTTGCAGATACTTCTATCTGGATGGCTCACAAAACAGCGTCCTGATTGAAAGAGGACTTCTGTTAAAGATGTCTGATACTCCATTTTCCAAATGGGTCTATGTTGACTTTGAAAAGCACAAGAGACTGTGGAAAGCTCCTTTGTGGAGCTAAGTGGATGAGCTGAGGGGTGAATAGAAACAGCCCATGCTTCCCGGGTCATGCGTCTGTGCTAGCCATGCTCAGGCAAGGGTTTATTTTTAGCTCCAGTTCATTCCCATGACATTTTTTTTTCCTTCCTGAGACAGAGTTTCACCATGTAGCCCAGGCTGGCCTTGAACTCAGAGTGATCCTCCTGAGGACTGGCTTCCTGAGTGCTGGGATTACATCATGCCAGGCTTGAGACAAATACTTTTTGAGCACCTCCATGTAGCTGACCTTGTACTAGGATCCAGGAATATCCTAGGGTCCTGGTCACAGCAATGACCAAGAAAAATGAGACCCCTGATGCTGAGGAGCTAAGGCGTAATAAATGTCCTCCATTATTGTTGGCCGGGTTAATAGGAAGGATGCATGGGCTATTGTAGGACTGAGGTTAAAGCCTGGACTATGTGGGGGAGGGAATAAGGAACCCAAGGCAGTCAAAGGTTTCCTTGTGGGACTCTCAGTCCTCCACCTCAGCATTCCTGCTTGCTCTTGTATCATACTGTAACAGAAACAGAGTCTGGAAAGAAGTAAAACACTGTTCAGCACAGCCAACCCCTCTGGCCACTATAATCATTGTATTCGGTACCAGGGGCCAGAACTCTTTTGTTGAGTCTTTTGGTTTATTTTTCTTTCTTTCTTTTTTCTTTTTTTTCCTTTGGCAGAACCAGGGATTGAACTCAGGTACTTGCGCTTGCCAGGTGAGTGCTTATTCCACTGAGCCATCTCCCCAGCTTTTGAGGTTTTTTGAGACAAGGTCTTGCTGTGCAATCCTGACTGGCCTTGAACTTGCCAGGACCCTCCTGCCTCAGCCTCCAGAGACCTGGCCTTCCAGATATACACCACCATAGGCAGCCTTTTTCCCTTTCTCTCTAGATTCTCCTGCTACCATGGTGAACAGTTTCCACTACTGCATGCTCCCATGGCAACATCTTGCCTGACCACAGGTTCAGAAGCAGTGGGCTGGCTGAACAGGGCCTGAGGCCTCCACAGCTAGAAGGAAAAAAAAAAAACAAAACAAAACAAAAAAAAACTTTCTTTTAATTTCATTGGTACACTTTCTTTTCTTTTCTTTTTTTTTTTTCTTTCTCGCTACCAGGGATTGAACTCAGGACCTTGTGCTTGCCAGACAAGTGCTTATTCTACTGAGCTATCGCCCCAGCCCTATTAGTACACTTTCAATACACATAATGATAGCATTCATCATAGGGGAACATGATTCTTAGGTATAACTATAATGTACCAATAAAATCTGATGAAAACATTTCACCACAGGGTATTTGCCCATGGTCTATCTTCCTTCTTTTTTTCCCATTTTCCTCCCCTCCCTTCAGCCTGGCTTCCCCTCTATTTACAAAAGCTCTATTTCCAGTTTTTTCTTCTCTTTCTTCCCCTTGTCCTTTCTTTCCTTTCCCTCTCTTTCTTCCCTTCTCATTTGAACATTTTCTTCCCATTTCCTAATGCCTATCAACCTTTCTTTTAAAGTTTCTTGGGCTCTTTCTCTTCAATGAGGCATCCGAGTGGCAGGCGCAGAGATGCAGATCTTTGTGAAGACCACCACCCTCGAGGTCGAGCCCAGTGACACCACTGAGAATGTCAAAGCCAAGATCCAAGCCAAGGAGGGCATCCCACCTGGCCTGCAGTGTCTGATATTTGCCGGAGTACAACTGGAGGACAGTCGGACTCTGACTACAACGTCCAAAAAGAGTCCACCCTGCACCTGGTGCATCATCTGTGAGATGGGATCATCGAGCTGTCCCTGCGCCAGCTTGCCCAGAAGTACAACTGTGACAAGATGGTCTGCCGCAAGTGTTATGCCTGCCTGCACCCCTGTGCTGTCAACTGCCTCAAGAAGAAGTGTGGCCACACCAACAACCTGCACCACAAGAAGAAGGTCAAGTAAAGCCCAGCCAGCCCTTTGTCCAAAAGGGTACCACCTGCCCAGCGCCTACAGCCTTGAGGCCTGAATAAAGTTTCCCTCCCTTGACTACAGAAAAAAAATTTAAAAAGTTAACTGGGACAGGTATTTTGTCCCAGAAGCAAAAAGCTAACAGCAGATTCAACTGTTTCCATTTTATTTCTCTTCTCCAGGTACCTAACACCTCATCCTTGAAGGAATGGATTCAATCAGTTTCTTAGGGATCTTTATTTTATCAATATTTTATACGTTATAGGGCTGGCGAGATGGCTCAGTGGTCTAAAGCACCTACTTGGAACAAGCTTGGCAAAGCACAGGGACCGTGGTTCGATCCCCCAGCACCACATGCCAGCCAGCCCCGCCCCCTGGTGGGCTGAGCTGGCCACACACACGCACACACACACACATAAATAAATAAATGTAAAAAAAATATATATTTTATACGTTATAGTAAATGAATTTGTTTTTCAGCTCTGAGTTGTAAACCCAGGGCCTACTGCCCGCCAGGCAGGCCTTGCAACAGTGAGCCGTGTGGCTAGTCTTTCCAGCTTTATTCTGGAGCAGGCCCTCCCAGTTGCCCGGCTGGCTTCAAATCCCATGCCTCAGGCCCCTGGGGAGCTGGGATTAAAGCCATCTGCCATTGCACTGTACTCAGCTAGGGCTATTTTGAGAAAAAAAAA